GTTTAAAAACAACATTACATGCCAACATGTTGGTATTGGGTAATATGACCAGTTGAACTAATAGGGACCCCTTATAAAAACATGAAAATGCTCAGGGGATAAAACTAAGCAAACCTCCCCCTCTCCCCTAGTTGTGATACAGAGTCAAGTCCAAATGCAAGAAAATCACCCTGATCAGAGAGGACAGGAAATAGAAACTCAGAGAAAGGTTTCACATGCTGCCATAGCCATGCAGAGGACACTGGACCAAGAGGTGGGCGTTTTAATGCCCATGTAATACTTATATGGGAATGGAAGGGAAACTTTGGTCCCATGTGAAGCAAGACAGGGAAACTGAGAACCTGCCTTAAGTGCCCATTGGTTCAAAGGAGTGACTGGCAATCTATCTTTCCTCAGCTCTGAATGAAAAATGCCTTTAATAAGAAACTGAGTTGCAAAGCCTTTTCCACATTGCTGGTATAAATTCTCAATTTACACTTGCTTTTATGGAAACCCTAAACTGAGAAGTTAACATAAAACTGATCAAGAACTTGTACAATTTCAAGATCACTGGTAGAAAAAAACGCATGCAAAACAAGGTCACAGACAGAATGCAGGGTGTATGGAAATACTGTCGGAAAGAATAACTGCCACATAAAAGAAAAACACTAGGAACACAAAAAAATTAACCCGTGAGGGAGGACCAGAAGACACAAGAAAATTGGTACCCTAATTTGTGGAAACAGTAGAACAATCTGAAAGAGTTTATAATAAGAATGCCTAAAATGACTAAGGACCCAAAGAAAGACATTGAAAATATGTCGGTGGCAGGGGGATGAGAGTGTGAGGTGGGGGAGAGGGAAAGCAGACATAAAATAAAGCTTCTGAAATGGAAAGCTCTATTTGCTGAAATTAGACTGAGAGATAGTATATTGAACACCACTGAAGAGAGAACTGGTGAAGCAGAAAATATTTCCAAGGAAGCCATTCGTATTGCAGAACTGATTAATCGATAGTCATGGTGAAGGGCGCAGGGGATGAAAAGAATGTCAAGGTACAATTAGTCCAAGTTTCAGGAAGTGAGAGAAACTCAGCAGACAGACGGGAAGAGAGACAACTATCAGAAGGGTAATATATCAGAATTTTCCAAAATATATGCAGGATGTGAATTTTTAAGAATCAAAGTTTTAAACAGAAATAAGGCAACATCTAGACAATTAATAAAGTTAAGAAATAATGAAGGCAAAGAAAGAAAATAGAACAGCAACAACCAAAAGACAGATAGCAGAAGAAGGATTGAACTTAGATTCAAAAGACCACCTTCTAGTGGCAATAACGAAAACCAAAATATATTCGAATAATTTCTTCCCTCCCCTGCCACCCTATACAACAATGAATGAATATTTTTTTTAAAAAGTGAACTGGGGTGGGGAGGTTGGGAGGAGATTATGCCACAATGAATGATTGAAAATCCAACTTTTCTGTAAACTTTGATTAAAATCACAATTTTAAAAAAGATAGTAGAAAAGGTATTCCATACATTTGAAGCAGTTCTCTACACCTTTAAATTTAGAATTCTGTGTATTCTCAGCTGAACTTTATTTTCTTTTATACTGGTTTTCATACAGAGTTCATAAAGTTCATATACATTGGTTTTCACACCAGATCTTTTCCCTTTCCTTTACCCATCCCTCCCTCCACCCAGCAAATTGTGTGACCCTGTTATTAAGCCTTCCCCCTTGGATCCTTGTACTTGTTCTGCAGTAATGGTCTTATATAGTATTTCTCTTTATGAGACTGAGTTCGTTTACTTAACATAATGTTCTCCAGTCCCTCCCAAGGTAGGTAGTGATTTACAAAATCATTGCCCCTGAGTGCTGCATAATATTCCATTATGTGAATGTATCATAATTTCTCAGTCCATTCCATTGTGGTTGGGTATTTGGGCTGTTTCCATGTTCTTGCTATGGTGAATAATGCTGCTATGAACATTGGTGTACAAGCCTCCATTTGTGCCTCAGTTCTCATTTTCTCAGGGTATATTCCAAGCAGTGGAATAGCTGTATTTATAGATAGTGTATTATTACCCTGAAAGTACTAGTAGAGTATGTGGTTTTGAAATGAGATGCAAAAAGTAACAGTGAGCAAGGAAACGGGGGAATATAGTTGTTGTTGTTGTTGTTGTTGTTGCTGCTGCTGTTAGGTGCCATCAAGTCAAGAATGACTCATAGTAACCCAATGAGCAGCCAACCTGAACCTTGCTCTATCTTGTGTCATTAGACAACATTGGTAAGAGAAATCAAAGACCTAAAGAAATGGAGAAATATACCATGCTCACGAATTGGAAAACTGAATATGGTAAACATATCATTTCTCTTGGAATTGTTTTATACCTGTTGCTGTCAAGTCAGTTCTGACTCATAGCAACCTTCCATTAAGTTTCAGAGGCTGCAAATCTTAGGGGATAAGACTGCCCATATTTCTCTCAAAGAGAAGGTGGTGGGTTCTAACTACTGACCTTTGGGCTACTAGTGCAATAAGAGCAATACACTACAATTCCTATCGAAGTCCCAGCAAAGATTCTTTTTTTGGGGGGGGGGTTGGTTTTAATTTTTTTGTACACATAGACAAGTAGACTCTAAAGCTTGCATAGCAGGACATAGGTCCTAGAATAGCTAAGACAGTCTTACCAAAGAAGAATATAATAGAAAGAATCACTCTATCAGGTACTGGACAGCATCTAACAAAAAGAAAAATATAGCTACAAAAGGAATTTTGGTAGTTAGTAGGTTAAGTATTGGGCTATTAACCAACTGCTCTGTGGCATAAAGGTAGAGCACTCCACTTCTGGGCAGATTAACAGCTTTTAAAACCTTATGCAGCGGTTCTACTCTGTCTTGTGGGATAGTTGGAAATGGAATTGACTCAATGCAGTGGATTTGGTTCTTGTCTGGAAACCCTCAGTTTCGGAACCTTAAATGAGCTTCCATTTCTTCCCTACATGTCTTGATTAATTAAAGGTTCAGATGGTGGTGAGACTTTCCCCAGTGCTTTACTTTGCAGAGGCAGTGCTTAGTGCAAATGGCGATGCTTGATGGTGAAGCAAAAGATTGGAGGTTCAAGTCCACTTAGAGCTACCTCAGAATTGACAACTAGAAATTAAAAGCCAAACCAGACTTCCAAAAAATCTGTTCCTGAGAAAACACAGTTTTACTTAGACACACATGGAATTGGATGAATCTTAATCACTTGATGGCAGCTGGTCATCTTGCAAGAGATGTAGTTTCCTAGCATAATACTAGATCACTTTCCTGTACTACAGTCAAATTATTTTCAAAATTTGCAACACTGTTAGCATTTGGTTAAGTCAAGAGCTTAACTTCTTTCCCAAAATGTTTGTGACCCTGAGAAGAAAATTTACTTCTCATTTCTCCTCAAGGTGGCCCAGAAGACCAAGTTGTCTAGGCACACCAGATTCTGTAGTTCACAGGCTGACGTCAGACTCCTGGGATCCCTCTGTGTTTCTGAAAAGCCAGTGCTCCTCCTATTATAGGTCCCAAACACTTCTCTTCCCTTGGCAGGAAAATTCTCACCTCTTAAGGGTTTAAAACTCTTTAACAAAATGATTGTACCATTTTACAGTCCCACCAGCAATGTATAAGAATTCTTTCTCACCACATCCTCTTCAACATCTATTACTTGCTGTCCTGTTAGACTTTGCCACTGTTACTGGATTGGGATGGTACCTCATGGTGGTTTTGATTTGCATCTTTCCAACTGCCAGTGATTTGGAGCATTTCTTCATGTGTCTGTTTGCCATTCGAATATATTCCTCTGTGAAACTTCTTTTCATGTATTTTGCCCCTTTTGTACTTGGTTTATCAGTCTTTTTCTTGTGGAGGCCCAGGAGTATTCTATAAACTCCTGTTATAAGACTCTTGTCTGAGACAGTGTTACCAAATGTTTGTTCCTAGTCTGTAGGTTTTCTTTTCACCCTGTTGGGAAAAGTTTTTGATATACACATGGATTTAATCTTTAGAAGGTCTTATGCATCAATTTTATCCTCTTTAGATTGTGCATTTCTGGTTGTATTTGGCAGTCTCTTTATACATTGGACTAGCGCTTCTAAGCTTATTAATGTTTAGTAAACATTATGGTTTTGGGCTTTACTCCCAGGTCTCTGATCCACCCTGAGTTGATTTTTGTGTATGATGTGAGATGTGGATCCTGTTTCAGCTTTCTGCAGGTGGAAGCCTGGCACTTCCTCAAAAAGCTGAACATAGAAATTCCATATGACCTAGCTATTCCACTACCTGGAATATACCCTGAGAATATGAGAGCTGAGGCACAAATTGAGATTTGTACACCAGTGTTCACAGCAGCATTATTCACCATAGCAAGAACATGGAAACATCCAAAATGTCTAACCACCAACAAATGGATTGAGAAAGTATGGTATATTCACACAGCACGCAGGAGCAATGATTTTGTAAATTATTACCTAACTTGGGAGGGACTGGAAAGCATTATGCTGAGTGAACTAACTCAGTCCTACAAGGACAAATACTATATAAAATCATTATTGTAGAATGAGTATAAGGATTCAAGAAGGGTGGGAGAAGGTGGAAGCAGAGGGATGAGGATGTGCAGGGGGAGGGCGATTAATCATGGGGTTGAACAATTTTATGGGATCAGGGTAAGGTAAATTGAAAGAATTCTTTCTTTTTTTTTTTTTAGAAAGAATTCTTTCTTAAAAACAATGTATTCAAATTTTGTAATTAAACTAGTAGAAATTTTTTTTAAAAACCACACCTCTTAACAGATCCAGCATCCCTTTTTAGAACACTTGTTTTAACAGCCCCTCTGCGACTTTCCCACTGGCTGTGAGTCAGAACTGAGTCTGTGACAGCACTTCCCTCCTCGGCTGCTCTGTATGGGACTCGCAGGTATAATATAACCTGAATCCTAATACACAGGAGGGATGAAAGGGCAAAGCAAATGAAAATATGACTGTCTTGCAGATGGCAAGGAGAATACCAAGCTTCCACAGAGCCCTGGGACCTCGAATGCTGGAGCAGAGACATCTCACCGGGTACGGAGAGCAACAACCTCAAGGACAGAGAGGATCTGGCCAGGAGGGGTCATCCCCTATGTCATCGGAGGCAATTTCACTGGTCAGTGACCTTAGATAGGGCCTGCTTTGTGATTGGGTGGTTTGCTTCTGCAGAGTGAGTGTCTTTCTAAGTGCGATTAAGCAGATGGAGTTCCACAGCTTCTCTTGTCACACACAGTCTTGCCTGCCAGGTTCAGAGGAACTGCAGTTTGTTTTGGGTCCAGGTCCTCAAAGATGTCTGGCGCTCTTGCTTCTGAGGTTTCACGCGTGTGTGACTCTGACCTTGAAGGACAGGCACCGTGAATATGAAGGATGAGCATGAGTTGCTGTACTTAGTGACATAACTATCCTCCGTCTAGATGGCCACCGTGGACTTTGTCTCCTGTCATCATCCACCCAGGAAGTGCTCAACACAGTTACCCAGTTGGGCCAGGAGACAACCCAGTGGGACACGTGGGTCTAAATCCAGGGCCTGTAGTACATCTTGGGAACAAATTACTTAACTTCTCCCATTCCCCCTGTAAATGCAAGGATTTACTACCTCTAGTGGTTATTTTAAGGAATCCTAGTGGTGCAATGGTTAAGCGCTGGGATGGCAATGGAAAGCTTGGTAATGGAACCTTTTGAGTACCGTCTTAGGAGAAAGATCTGGCAGTTTCTTTCATAATGATCTTAAATCCACGGCTACAGAGCCGATTCTCACAGCGATCCTCCACTGGGTTTCTGAGACTATATGAGACTTTCTTCCATAGAGCAGCTGGAGGATTTGAACCTCTGACCTTTTGGTTATTAGCACAACATGTAACACACTGCATCACCAGAAAACCTTATGGGACAGTTCTTCTTTTCCACACACAGTCATTTTATCAACAGCACCTAACAAGGATGATTTTTGATTTTGAGAATTAAAGGAGTTAATATAGATAAAAGAAAGTAGGGTAGTGATACAGAATAATTAGTAATTGTCTGCTGTTATCATTGTTGCTACTAACTAGCGTGATTATCTTTAAGTATGTGAATCATTATGGGGCTTCCCATTTCTACCAGAGTGAAAGTGAAACTCTTGACTTTGGCCTTAGGTAACTTGTATATTTTTCTCCTACCTGACCTTTGACCCCTCTCTCCCTCTTGGTCTCTGTCCTCAGCTGCACCAGCCTTCTTTCTGTTCAGGAGCACTCATACCTCATTGCCTTTGTGGGATCCTTCTCTTTGCCCAGAATATTCTTTTCCTTCGTTTGTCGGGTTGTCTGCTCCTCATCATTCCCATCTCAACTCAAGGGCTGTATGCATAGAATGGCCTTCTTTTCCTCCCTTCTGTTTCCACCAGCATATTTTTCTATCCAAGGTCCTCATTTTATAATCTCTATAGAGCCTACTATTACCTGAAATGGTTTTACTTTTATTTTAAACTTCTTTTCTATCTCTACTCAGGCTCTGTGTGAGTAGAGGCCTTTTAAAAATCTGATTGGTGCTCCAAAACCTTGAACCCCTAGACCAGGGCTTGGCTCATAGTTGGCACTCAACAGGCATGCCCAGAGCAGACCTGCAGTCAACTTTAGTGGAAATCCAGGAGCAGAAGCCATTGGGAGCTGCCTTTTCTAGGCTCTCAAGGCAGTCAGCTCTTTGGTTTCCTCTGTGGAAGATGATTGATGAAGCAGATGCCTTCATGACTTACCAAAGCCACTGAAAGCCTCTAATGAGTAAGGTAGGCAGTCAGCTGTGAAGATTTGACAGCGGCATCCTGCAACACAGCACAGGTGTTGAGAGAGAGCCGGAACTTTTCCCGCTCACACTCCCTTCATCTTCTCTTCCTGGGGGGCACTCAGGCTGTTTCTTGTCACTCTAGCTTGAACAGAAGGTCTTCTACTGTCAGACACTGACTGCATTCATTGCTGGTGAGGAAGAGAGGACTAAGAGTTGGCCCTGTGTTCAAGGAGCTCCTGGTCCTAACAGGAGAGAAAAACGTCTACATAAAGAATTGAAATGTGGGAATTATAAGCAGCTTCTGTCTCTAATCTTTTCTTTCAGCATCTGGTGTGCTTTTCGAACCAAATAAGTCTGTTAACTCATCAATCTTGCTGACTGTAGAACCTCTGTTTACATAGAGATTTCATGCTGTGTTGTACTTGAGATTGCTATTTTTTAAAGAGATTGAGCTATGAACAGTTTGTACCAAGTCTCAAACTCAAATAAAAAGTGAATCTTAAGTTACTCTTTATCTTTTTTTTAACAGTATGACATCACCCTCCCATCTTCTGGACCATGAATGGGAGCCTCTCCCAGTATTTTATATGTTTGAGGTCCTTCTAGAACACAGGGTCTCCCCACAAATCCTTTGCATTTCTGAAACAACTCTTTTTTTCTAGATGCTACTGAGATTTCTAGTAAGTGTTGAAATAAAGGATTTTTTTCCCCACCAACCTGGAAGATATGAAAGTAAATATTTATTTTGCATAACCATCATCCTGAAGTTTACAACTAGTTTATTCCTGCTCCTAATGTATTTAACTCAAACAATTTCTAGGAACTATATTTCAAGGAACTATAGAGATAGGTTCAGAGAAGGTCTGAAATAATACTGTTTTCCATGACCTTACAGAAAATAAAGGTCAGGGGTCCCCTAGAAAATGCAGAAGCACAGGCAAAGGTCTTGGGGATTTACATATAAATACAACTTTAGGGCATGTGGAAACATGATCCTACAGACATAAAATAAAATGAAATGAAAGATAGGTAGGAAGAACAGCTGGGGAGCTGACTGCCCCATACTTCAAAAGCCTATACTTTCCAAATGGAAAAATATAGGTAAAGTTATTTATTTATTTGAGGAAGCCCAGCATGTGTGTATGTGTCTCTGTGTGTATTTGGTTTTATTGTGATTTGGGTGAAAGTTTACAAAGCTAATTGATTTTCTACTCAACCATTCATACACATTTTGCATAATGACATTAATTACAATACTCACAATGTAACTTCACACTTCCCGCTTCCTCCCTGTGATTCTCATTTCTGTTTCTCCTCTTGTCTTACCGCCTTCAGTTTTCTGAACTTTATTCCTGGGCGGATGTTGCCTGTGGCTTACATGATTGATAATTTAAAAAAGTATGTGTCTCCTAAGTGTTACTGTTCATCCTACAGGCTTGTGTATTGTTTAGCTGGGACTGAGCAACAGCAGTGAGTTTTGTTCTAATTTTGAAGAGCCATCTGCTTGGGAGCTCCACTAGTATTTGTCAGACCAGTAAGCCTGGCTATTAGTTAGTTTTGTTCCATGTTTTTTGCGCACTTTCTCCAGGACTGTGATCCGTTTCAAAGTGGTCCACAATGGTGGTTGGGCACTATCTAGTTCTTCTAGTCTCAGGCATGTGAACATTGAGGTTTGAGTGTCCTTTGGAATAATCGTTCCCATGCACCAATGCTTTTATTTCTTTGTTGTTTCGGTTAAGGAGAGGTCAATGTTCGAGGTGTCCAGGATATTTTGAAAACCTATTTTTCCCTTTCTACCAAAATCTATAAATGGCCTGGTTTCCAGGCATCAGCAATTCAGTAAAGTCATATGGTTAGACATTCAACTATTAACTAAAAGGTTAACAGTTCAAATCCATATGGTAGCAAGACAAAGACCTGGTAATCTGTTTCTGTAAAATTGGAACCAAGAAAATTTTATGGGGTAGCTCTGCTCTGCCACACAAGGTGGTTTTGAGCCAGAATCAGTTCATAGGTCTCAACAAGAGCAGTATTACACTGTGTTCTTAGCAAGAGATATCCTCAGTCCTGTTGTTATGTGTTGTCAAGCCAGAACTTGTCTCACGGCTGGACTTCCAGTGGGTTTTTAGAGGCAGCGAAACTCACAAGAGTTGATTGCCCATCATTGTCTTGTGGAGTAGCTGATAGCTTCCCACCACGAGCCTTTGTTCGCAGTGCAGCTTCCTTCATTATTCTGGGTGCTTAACTTTTCTGGGCCATCAGAAGAAGGTTTGTTGGTTTGGTTTTTTGTTTGTTTTTTATCAGCAGAACAAGCATTGTCTTAATTAGCTCTAAAGAATTTAAAATGAAGAGATGAGCATGTACCCTGTTGTTTCAGGAAGCCAGAGAGCCATATTTAAGCAGGCCATGAGGCACTGGGAGAAACACACCTGTGTGACGTTCATTGAGAGAACAGACGAGGAAAGCTTCATTGTGTTCAGTTACAGGACCTGTGGGTAAGTGCTGCAGAGTGAACTGTCCCCCCACCCCTCCAACACATGTGTTGATATCCTGTGAATGCAGTCCTATTTGGGAAAAAGAGTTTCTTTGCTATGTTAATGAAGTCATACTAGTATAAAGTGTGCCCTAAACCTAATGACATTTTTTAAATATAAAAAGGAAATATTATAAATAAGCAAGCACAAGTGATAGATGCTACATGGAGCTCTCCAAGGAGAATGTAGGTCTGGTGAAGGTGAAACAAGGATTTTCCTAAACAGTTGAAAGAAAACACACGTCTTCCTAGAGCCAGCGCCTTGAATTTGGATTTCTCTTCGCCTTAAGGGAGACGAGGAGTTCTGGTGGCTTAGTTGACAGAGAGTTGAGCTACCAACTCAGAGGTTCTAGTCCACTACTGCATCCTCAGGAGAAAGATAGGCAGTCTCCTCTTGTGTGATTTACAGCCTCAGAAAACCTACTGAAGGGTCAGCTGTGAGTGAGTTATGACTTGAGTGCATTGTGTTGTTGGAAGAGGTGGGTGACGGCAACAGCTGGCCAGAGAGTCTCGGCGATCATGAGGATGGCACAGGATAAGGCAGAGTTCAGATCTGTTGTTCATAGAGGTGCTGTGGGACATAGTTGACTCAGTGACACCTCCCAACAATAACAGCAAGCTGCAAAAAGGAATAAAGCCTTCAGAAAAGACAGCATGATGGGAGAAGTAGAGTAGGAGATCCTAAATGAGACGAATTGACACAGTGACTGCAACAGTGGGATTGAGTGTGGCAGATGCCCTGAGGATGGCACAGAATAGGGCAAGGTTCAGATCTGTTAGTCACATGGTTGTTATGAGTTATAGTCAACTTGATGCCATTTGTCTAAAAGAAACCGTCAGAAACTATCTTTCTGTTTTCTTTAAAACCAACCACCTTAGCATTTCCATTACAGTAGCACTAAGAACCAAAGCTACCTCTGGTGGTTAGTCATAAGAAGCTGCAATGCTGTAGCTCTGGTGGCCTAGTGGCAAGAAGCTGTGCTGCAATCACAAAGGCGCACAGTTTGAATCCACCAGATGCATGCTGTACTGGAGAAGGAGGGGCAGTCTCTTCTTGTGCCCGTTAGATCTGACTTGAGGGGTATATAATAATAAAAAGGATATATTAGGAAAAAAAGAAAGAAAAAGAAGCTGCAGTGCTAACCCAAAGGCACACGGTTCAAATCCACCCACTAATTCCATGGGAGAAAGATGGGCGGGCTCCTCCTGTGTGATTGACAACCTCTGAAAACTACCTGGCGAGTCAGCTGTGAGTCGGTTCTGTCTCCACGGCACATACAACAAGACCCTAAGACGTAAGAGAAAGCAGTGCTGCCTCTGCGGAACCAGAAACAGACAAATCTAGTGGTACTTCAGTCTTTGATCTCTCTAACAACCAAATATTATTGCCCTTGTATATTTTATTTTTTATGTAGGAAGTATATATAAAATGTTTTCTAAAAATCCATCACAAGACCAGAAAAAAGTAATGAAAAATTTTGAACACCATTTAATCTTTCAAAAGAAATTGTTTCAAATTCCAAGCAAGATTCATCATCTTTAGAACCGATGTTGCTTAAATGCTTAACCACATCAACCAGTTCCACCCTGGAGGAAGTTCCCTTTTGTAATCTGTTTCATCTACCAGTTGACATATCTGGGGTTTTGAGAGATGTTCTTTTTTGTCTTATTTTCTTACTGGATGGGACTGAACGAAGTATTTCGACTCAGATGGCATTGTGTAATCCATGATACAGTTTTTCTCCTTGAACTGTTCCTTATTGTCATTGGCATATTCAAATAATATATACGTCATAGCAGTTCCAAGATTAAATTTCCCTTAAATTTGACTTAGGTACTCTGCTTTACAGCTAATAATATGATATGGGGAAAAAACCCAAACAACAGCATTCACAGATACAATCAGAGTGTGAAGATGTTGCTGTCCAGGAAATCCTTATTGAGAAGGCTTTGGGAATCACCATTTTCACCAGTGCTCTGGTGGCTTAGTGGTAAAGCATTGTGCTTACAAACCAAAGGCAAGCAGTTCAAATCCACTAGCTACTCCATAAGAGAGAGATGGACAGTCTCCTCCCATGCATTTGGCAGCTTCTGAAAACCTTTGTGCTGGTTCTGACTTGAGGACACGGAAAACATCAATAAGATGTGGCAATTAATTCTGGGAAACTTTCATCTCCACTCTAAAGAGAACATAATGCTTCTGGTTCCATCTCTTGGTCCTTGTTGATACTCATAGAGCAGTCTATGGTGCATCTTCCAGGTGGATGGCGTTTGCAACAAAGAAAAGAAAAGGGAAGGCAATGACTCTGAGACTAGATGTTCCCTTTTGCACCTGTAACTTTGGGCACAGCTCTGTAGACACAGGCAAAGGCTTCTGCATCCTCATGCACCAGCTGCTTGAAGCCTCTGTGTGTCTGGAATCAAAACACCAGATACTTTCAATAAACTGTGATTTATTTAAAAAAAAAATTAGGGTTTTCCACAGTTTACCAGACACTCCTCTTGCCCTCAAGGAACTTATAATTGATTAGGAGAGTAACTGTGGTAATAGGAAGATTCCAGAGAAGCAAGAGTTTGTCTGGATCTGTCACCAAAAAAGCATCAGAAGGAATTGGGAGAATTTCATCTGAAGAAAGCAATGGTTTCTTGAGTGAACTAACTCAGTCCCACAAGGATAAATAGTGTATAAAACCATTATCGTAGAATGAGTAGAAGGATCCTGGAGGGGTAGGAGAGGCTGGAAGCAGAAGGATGTGCAGAGGGAGGGGGGCTTAATCATTGGGTTGTACAATTTGATGGGTGGGGGGAGTGAGAGAAATGGAAAGAACTTGTTCAAATTTGTATTCTGTAAATAAACTAGTAGGGGGGAAAAGAAAGCAGTGGTTTTAATTGCTTTGGAGTCACATGAGCTCTTATCATTTGAAAAGGAATGTGATAGATGGCTCTACAAAGATACTGTCTTATTCAACCATACCTCCTAACCCTGTGCCTGTCAGTCCACATGGCATAGTAACCAAAGCGTTTAGGGAGCCCAAAAGTTGACCTTGGAGAGATTGGAAGCCCCTGTAGGCAGGACAATGCTCAATTCCAGTATGAAGCAGCTAGAACAGTCATAATCCAACACTCTCCAAGATTGGGGGGGGGCGCTTGATCTCTCCAGGGGGGAGTGAGAAAAGAACCGAAAGCTTATGCCTGAAAAATTATGCCATCAGATCGAGGAAGCCATAGAATTGGTGCTTTGGGCACATGAGTGATGTCAGAAGTAGTGGACACTTTGGACGCACACGAATGGCATCAGAGAATAGGAACCAGAGTGAGAACTACCTGCTGAAATTTGAACTCTCTGGCATCATCTCTTTGGTCCAGACTCCAGCCTCAAGGCCCACCCAGAGGAGGAGGCCATATATAGGACCTCACCTCTCTGCCTCTCTCTTCTTTCCTTTCAAGGAGGGAGACCATCCCTTTGTGGATGTAATTTTCTAATCTATCTTTACTATTTTAGCCTAAAAAAAAACAAAACAGTGTGGTGGTGTTGTCAGGTGTCATTGCTTAAAGGATGGCTGTTAGCTGCCCTGTGGACCACAGGTCTGAACCTTGCCAGGTCAGCACCAACCTCATCGGCTCGGATAGGCTCAAGCCTGTTGTTATAATCACCGTGTTAGTCCATCTCATTGAGGATCTGCCTCCCTTTCTCTGCCTTTCTGCCTTTCCCAGCATGACTTCTTTTTCTAAAGACTGGCCCCTCCTGATAACATGCCAAAGTGTGTAAGACAAATTTCACCATCCTTGGCCCTAAGAGCACCCTTGTTGCACTTTCTCCAAGACAGATTTGTTGGTTCTTTCAGCAGCCCATGGGATGTTCAATGCTTAATATTCCATATGCATGTTTGATCAATTTCTGACTCCAAAAGTTGGTAGAAGTCTTCTATTTCCTCCTCTTTGGCTCTAGTTGTTGGTGCATATATTTGAATGATAGTGGTATTCACTGGACTTCCTTGTATGTGTATGGATATTATCCTGTCGCTCACCACATTGTATTTCAGGATGGATCTAGAAATGACTTTTTTAATTATGAAACCAACCTCGTTTTTTCTCACCTTTTCATCCTCGGCATGGTAAATCATATAATACGCAGGAGAGGAAGACCCTCAATGAGATGAATCGATTCTGTGAATGGAATGGTGGGAATGAATGTGTTTGGGACGGTGAGGTTGGCACAGGATAGAACAGCGTTTAGGGCTCTTGTACATAGGGTCGCTATGAGTCACAAGCAACTCGATGGCACATAACAACAACAACAACAATATTCTATATGTAATCTTAGAGGAGTCCCATGGGCTAGTCCTTACAGACTTCCTTGCAAAAACATAACATAAATAAGAAGTCCCTAGGTTTCATTTCTATGCCTGACTGTAAATCGAATATGTACATAAGTAAGAATATTTAGGTATGGTTCTTACCTAATGTCAATTAGTCAAATGTTTGGTTTTGTGTATGGAACAGAGTGTACCTTTCTATACATTAAAAAATTAAAGAGACATGAAAACATATTTAACATAACAATACAGTCACAATGATAACAATGTTTGAATGTTCATAGCAAAGTTGCGCTCATTTGTTGTTATTAACCATGGTATATATTTGAAATTATTTATAGACTTTTATAGGGTTGATTCCTAACCCTTGGTGTATACCTGTTTGACATTTGTACCCTGAGAGAAGATAACTGAGTTATCTTACATGTTATGACATAACTTACATATTATGTCAATATAAAAGTGAGATACAGAAAGAAAAAGTTTCCCATATTGGGTCCAAAAACCCAACCTCAGCTATCTGCTTTCTCTGTGAAATGGTGACCGATGAAAATGATCCATAAAGGTTCAAAGTGAAAAGAAAAAGAGCATAGAGACAAATGGTAACAAAAAGAAAGCTGGCTCACAGTATTAGTTACCAACAAGG